TCGATGGTTAATGTATCCTCCTTGTGTAAAAGACAGTAAATCATCCTTTAATGTATTTAATTCACTTCGAAATTTACTCACTATTTCCATTTGTGTATGCTGGCTTTCTCTCAACTCTTGGAGACTTTCTTCTTGTTTATTTTCTTTCTCCTCCAACCACTGCTGTAGTCTCTCTTCTTGTTCATTTTATTTCTCCTCCAACCACTGCTGTAGTCTCTATTGTTTATTTTGCTGTTCGAGCTGCCACTGTTGCAGGTTTTCTTGCCACTGTTGTTGTCTCTCTTCTTGTTTCTTTTCTTTTTCCTCCAACAACTGCTGTAATATCTCTTCTTGTTTCTTTTGCTGTTTTTGTATTGCTGCCATCAAATCTGCTAAGCTGTAGTTTGATTTACCACTTCTCGTTTCCATCTTCTTTTTTTTTCTGACATCAATTTGTTGCGTATCTGCTTGTTTGTTAATTTCCGATAATAAATTCTTTCCGGGTGGCTTCAGTGATACAAGTCACTTTTTGATTAAAACTTATTTATTCTTTCTCGTTACAAACTTTGTAATACACTTAATTTCTACAGTCACTTTAAACTTAACAACCTTCATAACACACGCTATAAATTGCAGTGATTTACACACTTTACTTACGGTGCCTACTATTCATTTGACTGAATTATCTATCTCTTCAAGCTATCTGCCCCATTGCACTGGATTTTTTCCCCAGGCTTATATGCTAAAAAAGAGGGCACCTCAAACAAAATAGAGTTGCCAGGAAAATTCATGATCCTTCGAGAAACTCCAGTGTGCATGCTCCCAGCGTCGCGTGACCTTTGCTGTCGTAAGAATATCATATCTAGTTCCACATTAGGATAACATGTACTCATTGACTTCATGAGCCAAAATATTTTATAATTATAGTGTTATTTTGGGGGTAAATGATAGTTTAATCAGATTAGTATTGACCTACTATCACAGTAGGCCTCTCTGATAAATACAGAATTTGTGTATAGTGACTATATATGTGTAAGCTACATTTTCGGTGTTTATTTATATGTTTGCTATAGGGAACTGTTAATCATGATGATGATGATGTAAAAATCAAACATATTTTGGAAGCAGGTGGAAACAGGAATACATTATAAATACAAGAATGAATGAGAAGTTACTGAATAACAAACATTTCAGTTCAGTGTCAGAAAAGTTATTCATTGAGAGTTTCACGTCTTTTCAGTTAATTGATCAATTAGCAAGTTTTGTGTCTGTAAGTTAAGCATCGATACCATTAGTTTTTTGGGGTGTTGCCCGTGAATTTAAGATAATAAAAACAAATGAAAATAGCAAGTTGAAAGGTTATAGAAAAAATAAACTAATTCAATACGGTTATGTGGACTGAATCTTGCATAATTGTTATGAAATAATCAAAAACAACCAGCTCAAAAACAGAACATGTTACAACAAAATGTAAATATGTCAACTCACTTTCTTACCTCTTCAAAATTATGTGCTTGAAAAAGATCCTTGACAGCCTTGGCTAGAATGTCATCTTTTGTTCTTCCCACTCCATCTACGTGAACCTTATCAACCCTAGCCTAAAATATATATAAAAATTTTAAACCACAAAATGTAACTACAAAAAAAAAAAAACACAACAAAAACAACTGAATCAGTCCGAGAGCAAAGTTACCCGTTTTATTTCCTGAATTACTTTCCTGTAACCTTTGAATATTAGAAAAAAAATATATACCAAAGTATTAAATAAGAGTATATACAGGGGTTAAAAGGGAAGTCTTGGAGTTGGGGTGGTGGGTGCTGTGCTTAACCAACAAGATCTCTTAGAAAACTTTAAGAAAACCAACTATCAAATATATTTTAACAAGAATGAACTGTATATTGGAGAAGAAAAAAGTCACACAGTTTACACCCACAACCAAAGTCATATGAACTTGGACAAGTCTGTGTAACTAGGTAAATGGCTAGCCATCACTCCCAGATCCACCCCACCAAACTACAACTTCAATTTTTTCCATACCCTTTCAATTATCCTACAATACTGTTTTCACCCACCCCCCCCCGTTCCAGCTAAGGGGTCTCACCTGAATGATTTTCCTAGTTTTAATTACTGTGTGTGTGTGTGTATATGATCATACATTGTTTCACTTACCTATAGTTTTAAAGTATGTTAAGTCACATACTATGTATAAAGACCTACAAAGTGGGGGAGCATTATTATCCTTGCCCCCCCCCCCCCTACAGTTTTTCAAGCAATCTGATGACATAAATAATATTGAACATTTTGTCTATCATACTCAACAGGCCTGATGAGCCCTAGTAATGGACAAAAGGTCCTATCAGCACTGGATATAGTAGATATAATGTGGTTGACATATTATATAACATTCTCTTTCTTTTCACTCAGTAGTTATTTTACACGTTGTAAGAAATGAACCCTTTTGAATAAAACAAACAAATAGTTGTTTATTTATTAGAACTATTTGAAAGTCAATACACTGAGTGTGCATGCAGAAATCCAGGGGTGAAAATTAAGAATTAACACCTATCTATATGGATTCAAATGGATCATGTAATTAACACCAAAAAATGTAAGAAAATCTTAACATATGCTCCAATCCCAATTCAGCATTGTTACTTGTGCACAACTTAATTTAAACATTCTCCACGAGTAACAAAAATGTTAACTATACCACTGTATGGGAGAAAAGTCAAAACTTACAAGGATGTTATTAAACATTCTGTCGTACCATTCCAACAAAAGGGTGATGTTGCATTCACTTACATCACATCAACATGCAGCTTTGTAAATTATTAGAATTACAACAAAAAATCGTTATCTTACCTCTTAATACACCACTCCTTAACAATCAATAATGTGTTCATTCTTGACAAGAACAATCTTAAAATATGACTTAACCCCTCCTGTAGTTTCTGCACTCAACAAACAATACTTACTGTTAAAGTTGGTTCAACTTTAACATGATGTTAGAGTGCAGCCCCATCAATTTTCTGTCTAGTCCACTAGACAATGGCACCGTTTCTAATAATCACTTACTGCAACATCTGATCTACACAATTTTATAACAAATACAATTTCACAGTCTGTAAAACACAGTGTTAATATCCATTAACAAGATGTCCCATAAAATGTGGTAATTTGAACCTCTGAAGTTTAACATGAATCTATTCTCAGGTTTCTTTCCACCTGTGATTATGGATTCTTGCATGAACAGTCATAATTTTAGCTGTGAAATATGCAAAATAAATAAGTATATGTAATAGTGAGAGATATTTTAAAATCCAATTGTTCATTAAGATTAATTTAGATCACGCATTTAAATGTGGGTAAGAAACCACTGAAATGTATGACTGAAGAAAAGGGTGGATAAATCACTCAAGCCATCGAGGCAGTGCTACATTGCTAGTAGCAAAGTTAATAGAATTTTATGAAGTATTTATAGACACACTTGTAATTCTATGTAACAGTCGTTGTCACTTTATTTTAGAAAGAATAAAGACTTACTGGAAAAAGATCAGAGGAAGGCTACTAAGGTATTATCTTATGGAGGGTAGGTTGAAAAAAGGAAAGATAAAAAGACAACTTATTTAAGTCTGCAAGATTATCTGGGGAATCAACAGGATAAAGACCTCTGATTTCTTTGCAATACATTCTAAAGGCAATAGGACAAAAGTTGAAGATTTGGAAAAGACAGGCTAGGCTCCAATTAAGTGTGTGATAGCAAAGCCACATCTTGCTGTCTGCTGTGTCTGCCAAGGGGGAATCAAACCCCTAATTTTAGCATCGTAAATCCAAAAATTTACCGCTGTCCCACCAGGGGATGCTCCAGTTAAGACAGTTTTATTTTTTAATAGGGTGATTGGCTTATGGAGAAAACTTACACTGATAGTAGTGGAGGCTAACACTTTACATGGGTGGGTTTGAGTTTTCACTTTTTCTCAATGGTAGTTGTGCAGCAGCAGCTATAAAGGACCAAATGGTCACTTGTTGCCCATATATTATGTTACCACGTAATCAAAAGATTATACACTTACCTTTATTTTGTCAAGAGATATTTTATTTTCATCAATTTTCATCTGTTCTTCTTCTATCAGGGTCTGTAAAAAGTTTTTCTATTAATAAAACTTTCTATGATATTTAGAGCTGGGTGACTAGACAAATTTGATAATCAATTAATCGTTAGGTTCGTCAATCAACTATCCACGAGATTTGGGTTTTTGGAACAATTGAAAATAGTACTAATCAGAAACACTAATTTTGGTAAATCAGTTATTTTATGTTATGCTAATCGATCATCCTGCAAGGGAAGAATGCTGCTGACATAGACAACAGCCCATAAGATGGACGAACGACATCAAGTAATGGATTGGATTGTCATTGGCCTAATGCACCAACAGGGCAAGGAACCTATAGAAGGCTAAGATGTCATAACCATGGTCCCTGACCCTCTGCAATGAGAAAGGAATGCACATGAAGTGATGCTCATAAGGAACTAATTATATTAATTAATCAAGTTATTCACCTAGCTCTAATAATATTAGTGTTTCTCATAAATACTTTCTAATTTTTTGTGATGAAATTCTCTCGTCATATTTTCCCATATAATAAACAACAAGAATCCCAAGATAGCCCCTTGATAAAACTCTCTCATCATATTTTCCCATATAATAAACAACTATAATCCCAAGATAGCCCCTCGATGAAACTCTCTCCTCATATTTTCCCATATAATAAACAACTATAATCCCAAAATAGCCCCTCGATGAAACTCTCTCATCATATTTTCCCATATAATAAACAACAAGAATCCCAAGATAGCCCCTCGATGAAACTCTCTCGTCATATTTTCCCATACAATAAACAACAAGAATCCCAAGATAGCCCCTTGATGAAACTCTCTCGTTATATTTTCCCATATAATAAACAACTAGAATCCCAAGATAGCCCATCGATTAAACTCTCGTCATATTTTCCCATATAATAAACAACTAGAATCCCAAGATAGCCCCTTGATGAAACTCTCTCATCATATTTTCCCATATAATAAACAACTAGAATCCCAAGATAGCCCCTCGATGAAACTCTCTCGTCATATTTTCCCATATAATAAACAACTAGAATCCCAAGACAGCCCCTTGATGAAACTCACTGGTCATAATTTCCCAGTCAGAATAGCACCCATTTATCACAATCCTGTTTTTTACCTTCATGCTAATTGTGAATCCAGCTTTTGAGTTTGTCCCAATTCCTTAAGAATCTAACCTAGTAATCAACCTTACCTAAAGCATTCTCTAAGTTCAGACACAACAACAATATATCATCATTCAGAGAAGCAAAATCTCTATTGAAAAAAAGAAATGGTAAGGCAAGAAAAACCCTTTTATAAAGCCAATTTGATAATATCTAATCAAATTATAGTTGTCAATGTATTTCTTCAAGAGATTCTTGATTCCAACAGTTTATCAACAGGAGAAATCGGACAAATCTAACCTTTAAGTTCTTTGCTCTTCTCCAAGTCCTTTCATTTGAAAGATGGGCATTACAGTGGCTACCTTCAAATCACTATAAATTTCCAGTATATAAAGACTTCTGGAAGGTTTTAATTAAAAACCACAATGGTCCATTATATAAATCCCTTAAAGTTTTGGGATAAATCTCATCATCATAGGGAGCTTTACTATCAGCAAGATTTATAAGTTTTTCCCAATCATGATTTTATTTAATAATAATAATATCAAACAACTTTAGTATATACACTAGGAAACAAAAAATTATTCAACACTTGAGCCATATATTCCTCTTCAACAATGAGGTAGCCACTTAAATACTTTAAATCTAAAAGTCCAGTACATTCTTTGATTCTCTTTTTGCTGTTAACATAAGCATGAAGACCTGAATTTATGTTACAAGCTAATACTCATACAAGCCTTTCAAAGACCCTCTTTAGCCCTAAGCCTTATCCTCGAGTATGGTTGCATTAACCTATTTTTGGCATATTCAAGATATTTCTCAATTTTTACACAGTGTCTTTTATCTATTCTTTTTAAGATTTAAACTTTTACTACTGGTATTATATAACAGTTTGGCAAGAATAACATCTAAGTAACCATGTGGTGGAGAAGAAAGGAAAAAAAAAAACAGTGATACTTTATGTGGGTTGGTAGAGAAAGTTGGAGTGAAAAACGGGTGACGTTTTTGTTACATTTTAAAAATACCCCCAAACAACAAAACAAAATGGAGCTAAAGAATCTCCCAAATGGATTTGAGCTCACCGTATCAGCGTATGAACTTAAGTTTTATTTCATTTTTCATCATTTTCCCATTTGTTTGGCTTTACTTGGTTTAACTATTAGTCTTACTTTGTAATTTTATACTCAAATTTAATTGACATTTTTCCGCATTCCAGCTAGACATTCGCCACTTTTTATGTTTTATTACTTCTAATACTAGTTAGTTTACAGCTTAGTATCACTAATTAAAATATTGTTCAAATCCTTGTTGGTGTTGTGTTGCTTATTTTTTGTTGTTGTTTTTTGTCTACACTCTATAGAAATAGGTACTACTGTTTCAACTTTAAGCCCACTCTTCGTGTGTTGATTCTACGTTAATTGCAGCTTTAACATTTTATCATTTAATCAAATCAATAACTTGAACGTTGTATATAACTTAGCATTACAAGTCAATTTCGGTCACAAATCGAATTACGCTAAACAAACGTGTCGAACCCATCACCGATACAAATTTAATGCTGTTGAACTACGTTTTGGAAATTATTCAACAATAGTAAAACATACATTCTTTCTGAAGTTACAATTACAAACTGAAGTATTTACTCACCTTTGCATAGACAGTCCCCATGTTACAACCTTACAAGGGTCAACCGGTAGTAACAACAATCTCATACACCACTGCAGGTACAGTCGACAGCCACAAACAGATTTCCCTTCTCTAGTAGTAATATTGTGAACTACTCATAATTGAATAGATAGAAGAATGGAATGTATGTTAACCGAAATTTTTATATGTTTTATTATTATTATAAAAAGGAAACAAAGCTATAGTTTTTATAATTTGTATTTCTTTTAAACGTGTAATATGAACGGCGAGCTTGTGTAATTTGACAAAATTTCTTTATTCTATAACAGATAAATAAGTTTTAATCCTACATTTTATTTGCTGTGTAATTTCAGAGAAAAGAAGAAAGAATCCACGAACGACGTAGATGCCTGATATAGGCATATATATATATACATATAAATGGTAAAATATATAATGTTTCCACTTTCCAGGATTTTACTCTGTGATTCCAGAACTTATGCCTCTCGAATAGGATTTTTATACCAATTTCAGGATCCCGGACTTTCTACCGATTTAAGTAAGTTTCAGGACTCTGTCAGGATTTCGTCAATTTTTAAAAATATAGTACAAAAAATAAAAGCAACATAACCTATTTATGTGTACATACTTGTAATTAAAATTTTACTCAGAAACGTTGTTGTTGTTTAAGCGCAAAGCTTCACAACAGGCTATCTCCACTCTTCCTGCCGCAGGGAATCGAACCCCAGATTATATTATTTGAAGTCCGTAAACATATCGCTGACCCTCCGGAGAATTAATAAAAAATGAAAGTTACCTATATATATATTAGAATATTTGCATATAAGTTTGCTTTAACTTGAAGTATTTCCAGATCTTGTTGTAACGTATCTGCTTGTTTGTTAATTTCCGGTATAAATTATTTCCGAGGAACTTCAGCGACACAAGTCCCTTCTTGATTAAACCAGTTTATTCTTTCTCTATACAAACTTTTAGTACACAGTAATTCCACAGTCAGTACGTTCCTCGTCACTTTAAACTTAACAACTTTTATAATACACGCAATAAATCACAGCTATTCACAATCTCGATAACTTCTCTACGAGTGCAAAACACACACTCGCTCGAAACAGAATCGTAAATTACCCGAAACTCACCGTGACTACTGTTCACTTTATGATACATACATCCACGCAGGTTCTGTTCTGTTCTTGGTTGTTATATTGATTTAAAAATAATTATCTCCTAAGAAATAATTATTAATCAAGGGTGCTCTAAGATTAAACAATCCTTCTTCACCCCGCGCGTGGTCTAGGAATATGGGCTTAACTTGAGAAAATAGGAAATTAATGCGGACAAGGTATGTAAGTTTAAAAAGGTAAACGTGAGAGTAACGATAAAAATAAATAAAAAAGATTGAAGAGCAAAGTAGATTAAACTAAACGGCCGATGTCGGACTGATG